AACATGGACCAAAGTTGTCCACACCTATAGTGCAAATGAGAGCCACCTCTCAAGCCCACTGTGTATCAGCAAAGCCCCAGCTAAGTCCAGAAGCTTGAGCAGGAGCTGGTTTGCATTAAGCAACTGCCTTCCTGGATGGTTTATGACATGCCATTTGCATAATGAGGACAAATTGATATGTGTTGAAAAGATGTTTCCACATTAGCAAAAGACTAAAAGGAATTCAGTGACAAAACAATCCCCAGTATATTACTGCAATCAAGAGTAATGAATTGCATATATATATGATTACAACTAACAAAATCATTGTGCAAGTCACAAAAAATAATACTGGTATGATTCCATTCATTAAAACCATCCAAACTAAACAATTTTAGAAACCCTTGAATACGTGTTAAAATAATACCAAGGTAAAGAATTTATTAACGTAAAATTAAAGACAATAAAAGAAAAAAAGGAATATAATCAGGAATGGGGATGCAAACAGGAAGGAGAATACAGAGGACAGCACACACCACACCAGCACTATTTGGTCTGGAAAGATGGATGAACACAAAATTAAATACCTCCTATCTGTCTCTGCTCTTGGTTCATTTCCAAACACTGAGACACAACATCCAGCAACTTGTTGGATATTATTTTGACTTGTTTCAAGTCAAACAAGAGAAGGTTGATTTTGGCTCAAGTCTGTAAAGGTTTCAGGCCCTAGTCAGCTGCCTCCTAGGTATAGGGACATGGCGGAGAAGGAAGTGTTCGCACCATGGTGGGCAGGAAGCCACAAAACTTCCTCCCGTTTCCCCTTTGTGTTCCATGTATTCCACCTCACCTGCTGGACGGCACCACCCACACCCAGAGTGAGTCACCCCTTACCAATGAATCTATCATCTGAACCCAGAATCAAGCTAAACCAACTAGTGGCCTAACCCAGCAGCACACACCCATGACCCAGTCACTCTCCAGGGCCCCACCTATGTGGCCATGAGGCTCCAGAGTGACACCCAGACATAAGACATGATATATTTAGATCAACTTACTGAGTATATATTTCATATGCTTAAGAATATATTACCTCATATAAACTGATAAACACGTGAAAACAAAGGCCTTCCGGACTGAGAAGGAAGTAAGCCCTTCTTACCCCTTCCTTACCTGAAGACAGCAAGGATGCCCAACCCGGATCAGGATAGCTGTGTAGCACAAGCAGCTGAAGACTGTTGAGGCAGCACTTAGTTCCAGATCAGGCCCACTGGAACATCCTGGGAAGGGGCCCAGGAACAGCTGAACTGTGACTCTTTCTTTCTAATAAGTAACCATGTATTTTGGGAGACTTCCTGAGATTCCTTAGCACCAAACTAAAACTATGCCCACCTTAACAACAGAAGGAAAATCAGCAATAATAATAGAAACACAAACACAGAGCCAATATTGACATACAACTGAAAGCAACAACAGTATGACCACAAACAATACAAAAGAAATCAGCTGTGATAACACAGAGTACAGAAAATAGCTAAAATTAATCAAGGTTAACAGTAATAATAGAAAAAAAAGTGAAGCAATAATTTTCCATTTGGAGAAACGCGCATGCATCTGGAGATCATTCTATTGAGCAAAATAAGCCAGACTCACAAGGACACACATCGACTGTTCTTCTTGGTACATGGAATCTTAAAAAGGTGACAAGAAAACAAAGAGGAACAGAAGGATCGATAGGAGAAGGGAAGGGCGGTGCCAAAGCCAATGAAAGGGCGCATGTACTGGAGAGTTCCTCGCAAGGCGAAGCCTGCCAACATGGGACAAGAGCAGGAAATGTGCCGCAGGCAGGTGATGCGGGGATGGCTCACGTGTGCAGTGTGCCCGTGAAGCTCTGCCAAGATGAAATCCACCCATCCATACACCCAACTTCCATTAAAAGAAAAGGGGAGGGGGGAGAGAACATGATTGCCTTTTTGTGCTTTTTGCCATTCTTTCTCCAGCCTGTTCCACACGTTCTAAGCCATCTGCTGCTAAGGACCTGGCCTCAACTCAGCTCCTTGGTGCTCTGTGATGCATAATCTGGATGAGGCTGTTGACAAAGTCATGTAAATCACCCTGCATCTGCAAGGAATTTGTACTACAACATAGTGATAGAATTGCATCAATCCTCTTGAGCTAGAGATCTATGAAAACTGAGGATCAAATTAAAGGTAGACAAAAGTCATAGATTAAGCAGATAGGAATTAAAGAAATAATAATAGATTCACATATTAATTACACACTTGAGCTGGGGAGATGGCTTGGAAGTCTAGGTGCCTGCTGGCAAGCACAAGGACCCAGGCTTGGTCCCCATTACTACATGCTTTGCCAGCCCCGGAATCCCAGGCATGCCATGCCAGCCACTAAAACAACTTGTGGTAGTACACGCCTACAATCCCAGCACTGGAGAGGCTGAGACAGGAGGATCAGTATGGGTGAAAAGTGAGACCTGCAAAGTGAGACCCTGAACCAAACAAACAAATAAGATTTTTTTAAAAAAGAATTACACACTCTAGAAATAACTAAGGTTTTAACTTGCTAGTTATCAGTCAATTCTGTTTTTCCAATAAATATGTCTTTCTTGGAAAACTGTAAGTCTCTGGTCTTTGGAAAGCTGGAAAAATGTAAGTCTCTGGTCTTCAGAAACATAGGAGCTAAAAGGAAGGTTCCAAGAAAGCCGGAAATTTCTAGACATGATAATAAGTGTAGGGACTGGCAAGATAGCTCAGCAGTCTAAAGCACCTGCTTAGGCAAGTTTAGACAGCTGAAGCGGACCAGGTTCAATCCCTGTCACCACATGCCATGCCAGCCCCATTGTCAGGGTGGGCTGAGTCAGCCAAAAAAAAAAAAAAGATAATAAGTGCAAACAGAGGCAGTGATTTCAAAACTCTCCAGAAGAATGGTTACTGTACAAGTATGATAGCACTGTTAAGGACCATTTGCAAATTTCTGAAATTACCAAAAACATTTTCCACACCAAGACACCAAGAAATCAAACTGCATGAACATGTTGGCCAAATACCCCACTAATAGGACATAGGGGTCGCGTCTTCCTTGCTGGCAAGGCCGCGCGCGACAGGATGGTACGTAGGAGAAAAGGAAGGGAAAAGAAAACACACACACATACAAAATAGGTAAGATAATTACACTACTAATTTCTATTAGTTCATTGAAAGAATGGTTTGTACTTACATTGTTCAATTTTGCATGCCTATATTTTGTAATGTGAGCAACTACTTTGAAGATAACAATATATATTATATTAACCCTTGTTAATCTTCTATTATATTGTTTTGAAATTAAAAAAAAAATAGGACATAGGAAACCTCCAGAATATCAGCTCATACTTATGAACCCTGATAGAATCTCTATGCATAATTATTATAGCTAGCACACACTTTCAGACACAGGATAGCACTGTAAACTATAAAGTACATTTGTACAAAGGATTCCACCTACTCTGCAACCAACTTCAAAAGGAATGACATTCTATTTAGACTAGAATTTGGTAACATATACACTTGTCAACATAAGAGGAAAAGGATTAGTCTGTGAACTGCTCTTTGTGTTTACACTCAAAACCCATGGTGTATAATATTCTTCATTAAAATAACAAATTATCTTAGTCCAACTTTTGCTCATATATGAAAATTCCTGACTTTATAATGCATAAAAGCAAGATATATATTTGGCCATATGTTATGGTTTGTGTCTAGTTGTCCCCCCAAAGCCTCATGCAATCATGGGGTGGGGACTTCTAGAGTTTGAGATTAACTCATGATCCACTGGAATTATGGGTGATCCAAGGCTGGGATTATGGGTCTGAGTACTGCTGGGATTATGGATGTGAGTGCTACACCCAGCATGAGGCAGATAGCCTGAAAATAACGTAAGAGAACAGAGTGACAGTTTTCCTTTCTGTTGCCATTATTGCTCCTACTCCTCCCTCGGCTCCTCTTGCTCTTTGCCACCACCATGAAAGGTTGCTCTCTGCCCTGTGTCACGCTGCCTTGGAGCCAGCTGAGTATGGACTGAAACCTCCAGTAACTGTGAGCTAAATAAATCTTTCCTTCCTTCAGTTTGGGTGTTGAGTATTTGTTCTAGCAATGAGAGAAAAGTAACTGAGATACCATGGTTCTGTGGCTGGGGTCCAAACACCAAGACCCTGTCACTTGAAAAGCATCAACTCTACCCAGGTGACCATGTCATATGATAGATTAGAGGCAAACAGAAAAGAGTCCAGCATAGGAAGTGGCCACACTTCATAAGAAACTAGTCACTTAGAGCAAGCTCAGTCATGACAGAACTGTGCAGGCCTTCCCCACAGGTAGTACTCTGTGACCTCACCTCCCCCCAGGACCCATTCCTTAAAGATCCATCATGTGCAGAGATCAAATTTCCAGCACTGAAACTTTAGGTATATATTTATGTCATACTATCTTTCATCATAACTATCTTTTAGTTGGGATAGATATATAGTTGCATTCTCTTATTGAATAGAATGATTTGTTCTAATGGTGTTTGTAAATAGGATCACAAGTCCACATCTTGTACAGCAATT